TGTACCAGGGATCAAACTCGGGTCCTTGTGCTTGCTTGCAAGGCAGGCGGCAGAACCACTGAGCTAAATCTCCAGCCAAAATAGTGTTCTTTTTTTTTTTACTCCGGGGATCGAACTCAGATCCTTGCGCTTGCAAAGGACGTGCCGGAACCACTGAGCTAAATCCCCAGCCCTGCTAAACATATTAATTGCCTTTTTCAAATACAGCATTTGATTTTTTTTTTTGCAGTACTGGGGATCAGACTTGGAACCTTGTGCTTGCAAGGCAGGCTCAGTGCCCCTGAGCTAAATCCCTAGCTCTGCATTTGATTTTTATTAAGACTAATTTTTCAGGTGTTCACACTTACGTTTGAGTTGTAATTATCTCCCTAAATTCCATTTTAAAAATGTGTGTTTAAGTACAGGCATATACACCTGGAAGAACGAAATGCCATAGTGATTAAAACCAAGAAAGCACCTTTTGAAATGCCTGAAAACTTCATTAGAGTGAAGTGGGAAAAACCAGATGTAAGATAGTGCATGTGATGTGCTGTTCTTCGTGTCAGAGGCTGTGTGTACATGCAGATGCATACTTGTAATTTAATATTAATTGTAGAGGAACATAAAGATCTGGTAATGTGTTTTAGAGGGATGGCTAGGTTCAGGGGAGGAAGAACACCTACGTTTTACCATATACCTTCTGTATTAACTTTATTTTAACTATGCCCATCTGTTACGTACTCAAACAGTTTTTAATTATTGGGAGTATATTTATTCCTTAGTTTCAGAGAAGAAAGGGTGAGTTATAAACAACCTATAAAAAGTAAATACGGTATTTTTGGGTTCTTAGGCAATTCGCATTTTGGTTCAGGAGCGCCTGACACAGGATGCAGTTGCTAAAGCAAATCAAACAAAAGAGGTATGTATGTTTTAAACATTCTTAATCAATTATTAAGATATTTTCTGCGATTGCCATTAGTTTAAACTTTGTAAATGTGTGTGCAACGGTTCCATTCTGTTAGAATAGCACAGAGAAAGGGTGGTTTCCTTCAGTGTGATTGATTTTGCTTCAAAGCTAATCGAATATATCCAGCTGCTGAGGGTCATTTGGGTGAAAAGTCAACTTGATCTCACTTCATCCCTTAAAAGCAGCCACCTGAAGGTTGACTGCAGTCTAGAAACTATTGCACATGTCCAGTTGAAACTTAATTGAGAGGATTTACTCTTGCAACATTCATTGGATTATTTTGACTAGTGGTGGAGGGCAGAACACACAACTTCTCCTTGCTACTAATTTCCTTGTTTTGACCTAAATCCTGCCCTTGCTCCTTTGAGTCTGCAGAGTAAAATCATCTCATTTTGTTCAGCTTCCAGGCATAAAACATGAGGAAGTAACTTGTGGGAAGTCCCCTGGTTGATGAGAGGTTGATCTCAGATTGTCTGACTTGGGAGTCTGTGCTTACGGTGGGGTGGGGATGAGAACCCATGAGCTGCGGATCTGCCTGGGTGACAGGCTTGAGCTCTGTAGGCATATACCGTCCAGGGTGCACATGACTGCAGGCTTACGAAACCATTTTACAAAACTTGCTTTTCAATAAAAAGTGTACCTCTAGGTTATTTTTAAGATTATATTGGAATTCTAGGTTCCTTGAAAGCCTCACTAAGTGTAGATAATGACCTCAAGGGTTAGCAGTGACACTGGGAGTCTTTAAGACCCCTCCTGCAGCACAGATGTGGGCTGAATGCCTTGGGCAAAACCCCCGTTCTGGACTCTTGTCTTCCTTTGTTCCCTCCCCCCAAGTCCTCCAGTGTCTTGTTCTCTGACCCCATTAGCAAGGCCCAGCAGTGTTGAAAGGTTCCTAATGCCAGGGCAACACTGCAGTGAAAGACACTATTTTCTTCTAAAGGTTCTTATTGACTTATTAATACTGTATGAGTTAGGCCAGTGGAAATGGGATTAAAGATCAGCTTATTTCACCCACACTATGGAACAGATGGTAAATTGTTCTGGTATAATAAATCATTGATTCCTTCAGCAAAACTATGTCTTCAGTGGTTTCAAATGCAGTACAAATGAAAGCATAGTCAAGTCTTTTCTTGTTTGAAAGAAAATAGTTCTATTTTTGGTGTTCCAAATCTTAATTTTAGTGTCATCTCAAAAACTTCCAGCCTGTTCTAATGTAGTGATGTTCTTAAGAGTTGACTAACCGATGTTTGTGACCACTGATAAGCAGTATTTGATGCATGGTGATTTTCACTGGTAGCTGTCCCTCGTGGTTGATGGGGAGACGAAGGGAAAACTGGAGCCTCTGGTACCAGACTGACATAGAGAACCATTCAGTACAAGTTTGCTCTTTCCCACTCTGCATCCAGCCCCATGATTTCTTCACAGATAGAGCACATTTCTTAGCGAAGCAGGTGGCTCCTAGGTAGGTTTGTGTTTATAGATTGGGCAAGACATTTGCAAAAACTGAAGTATTTGCCTAGAGACAGCTTGTAACATTGGAAGTATAGGATGTGTGTGTCAGTGTAACTGGTAATGAGTTTATACAGTGTGGTCAGAAAGTCCAGACTGCTTTTCCTCCACTTTGGACAGTTACTGTGGAGTCGTTGCAGTCAGTAATCAAAATGTAGGTGCTGATTGGTCATGTAAATAAATGGCTTTTTTTTTCTTCATTTCTTGTTCAAAGTAACCTGCAAATGAATATTGGAAGTTAAATTATATATAATCTGGTATACATGTTAGCTGGGAAAAAACGTGCAAATACTAGGTTTGTGTAATTTTTAAAGACAAATTAGTGTGTTTCGGGATAAATTTACTTGAGAATAATATGGTAAGTAGCTCCGTCTCATTTGCAATGCACTTTCGCATATTGTAGTTAAAATGGAACAATAATGGCCCTCAACCCTCCTTTCATAGCAGGTGACAAAACACTACTGCAGTAAGGATTTATTTTGCATGCCTGGTCTAAAGGACTGGACAGGCCATGGAATCTCCAGTACATTTAAAGTCCACTTTTTTTGGACAGGGTCTCACTGTGTAGTTGAGACTGACCTGGAACTCACTATGTAGCCCAGGCTGGTCTTGAACTCACAGCGATCCTCCTGCCTCAGCCTTCTGAGTGCTGGGATTACAGGCGTGCACCACCATGCCGGGCTCTAAAGGCCACTTTTTT